GTTGATATTTTTCTCCTATGTTTTGATTTTTAAACATTTTTAAACCCTTTTAATGTATATATTAAATATAATATTATTTTGTGATTATTTTCTGACTGTCTTGAGTTGATTTTTGATCATGACTTTATTTACATCATTGGATCTTGGGTGTTGAGTTCAACTCCACCAAAATGGATGAATGATTTTAATAATAGTTTGATTAAATTTTGATTCAAAAGTGGTTTATTCATTTTTCCCATCTCCTCTTCATCTTATCCCTTTCTTATTGCACTAGATGTTGTTAGAGCATGATCTCTATATCATGTCTCAAAAAAAATGGTGCATAAATTGCTATTGACTGGCCTCAAAATAGGTGCGACTTCTATATAAGTCCACTTACGATTGCTTAACATAGCGCTAAATTTTGTCCTGATTCGAATAAATGATCATTCGTGGCCCAAACTTATGATTGCAAGCCCAAGTATGTTAATTTGATATCTTTGATCCAATAACCTTGAGATTCATTGTGTGGAGGCTTTGGTTCTACCAATCCTCTAATGGATCTACAACACTTTTGGTCAACGCGGATCACTTAAACATCGTTGATCATTAAATGGTACTTGTGAGAATTCCAAATGAATGATATACTTGACAAAAAGCAAATGCAACTTGTTGTGTGGAGGCTTTGGTTCTACCAATCCTCTAATGAGTTCCAAATGAAAGTTTCAAGATGGTCATCCAACTAACCACTAATTATTGACTTGTTTTACCTTATTCTTTTATTCTTTTTTATGCTTTATGTACTATTTACTTTTAGCATTTACATTTCATGCCATTTTCATCTTTGCTCATTTGAGAATTTATTTTCTTGCCATTTTTACTTTGCTCACTTGAGCTTTTATTTTCCTTTCTTAAGATACTTAATAATCAACATAAACCCTAAAAAATATTTAATAGTACTTGGACTATTTGGTTACTATCCTTGGCATTATGGAGCATGAGACTTTTTCTTGGACTTAAGATTAGAAACATTGGCCTATCTTGGAGACCTTGTGATCTTATCTGATTATTTTGTCTGGAGTTCTTGAGGTTTACCTCAAGACATTGGGTTGCTTGTTTATTTTTTTTGTGCAAGTTTTTGTAATTACATCCTCTGTTTGTAATCTGGAATTCACCCGTATACAGCCGTTACTCTGTCCAATTTTTGTGAAGACTTAATACACTTGAAGTTTGGTTCTCTCAAGAGGTCTAGTATTTTTGCTTGCTTGGTTTCAATCCAAGGAATGGGAATTCTATCTTGGCTCATAATGTCAAGTTTTGGCTTCTTGTTGGTTAGATGGTTCTTATCCCTAGCTTTTACCCTATGCTTTAGGATAGTCTCTTTTTCTCCTCCCATCTTCTTTAATTTCAAAATCTTCTTCCTCCTTTTGAAAACTCTTCTTGTTTTGAAACTTGAACTATTTTCATAATAAACATGGACTTATGTACATGCATTTTCAAAACATTTTCATAAATAAACTCCAATCAACTTAATAATACCTTGACATTTTTTGTGAGAAGACTAAAAATCAATCAATCTCATTTCAAACCATTTTTCCACTTTGGCTTTTTACCTTTAAAACTTTTCTTAAAAGACTGAACTCTTGTCAATCCTTGTAGTGATGCAAACAACTACACTTCTATAATATGTAGTGAAGAGAGATATTTTCCACTTGGGTGTTGAGTGAGACATTGTTGATTTTAAAATCCAAGCCATATCCTTCACTTTGAGATGATGCAAATTCTCCTTTCTCATGATTGTGGGTAGTAGGTATGTTTTCCACACGGACAATGACGATGATGTTTTATCTCATAAAATGGACCAACGCATTTGTGTTACAAATTTTTAAAAGAAGAACTACAAGTGTTCTGATTCCTCCTGGGATACGTAGGCACTGGATTGAAGATCTGGGCGAACACAATAATAAAATAAAAAACTTTATTTTCCCAAATTGATTCATTCATGCAAATAACTCTTTTTAATAGCCGACATACACAAATTTATGAAGAGGTTCCTGCGGAGTACCGCAGATGTTTAGGGTGCTAATAGCTTCCCTTTGCATAACCAACCCCCTTACCTTGAATCTTTCTCCCTCTTTTTGGGTTATTCGCGTTTTTCCCATTCCTTTGGAAACAATAAAGTGTGGTGGCGATTTTTATCTTGATTTGTGTAAGTCAAGTCAATCTAATGGCTTAGTCTTAAACATTTATACTGCTACAGACGTCACTGTCGTCGTACTAGTCGTAGAAACCATTGTTTAAGTAGAATTCAGAGTAATTGTGCCTTCTCCCACAGTATTATAAGGTTGTTCTCCATTGTTATTATTTCTAGGGTTCACCAATTTCCTAACATATTTCCTTTTTGGTATTGTGACGTTGTTCTTGGCTATCCTACCACTTCTCAATCTCATGCACACTCACGATTTTGAAAAGTTTCATAAATGAAGAACATTAAAAAATGTTTAGAAACAATGTAAAATTTTATAGCACAAACAGTCCCACTTGGCATGCCAATTTGTTTACAGTGAAATTTTATAAACAATCGTTAGTCTTTCAAATGATAATTTGGTTGCTTGCAAGATCGACTAGATTGATCTTAGGACATATGTGCATACAAGTTTCTTAAGTTGTTGTAATTTGTGTTTGAAAATGAAGATTTCGATGTGAAATGAATCTTCAAGAGAATATGAAAACAATTTTGTAAAGAGAAAATAAACGTAAAGGACTTAGATACAATAACAAAAATACTAGAAAATAACTTAAAGAACATGACTTTGCATTAAATAAAAAAGGTGTTTCGTACGTACATTTCACTCAGTTTTGACTATTTTCTCAATTCGCTAGATACTTTGAGTAATATGAGTTTTTATATACAATCGAACACACTGAAATCTAATACAATAACTCATATTTATACTAAAATCGAAATAACCATCTCAAACAGTATTTTATTCATAATCTGACACATTGTCGCTTGTATGTGTCTTGTCTTCGATTCGCCTTCACGCGTCTTCAAAAAGGATAAGGCCAAAAAACAGTTACTCCAACCTATTTTTGAATTTCAAACTTTTGTAGTCGAAACAACGTCCAAATCAAATCTCAAATTCACTAAGTTCCGAAAACATTAATGTACTTGTAGGAACTTTAATATATTTCTTTAAACTTTTCTGTCGAAACAAGCTTTAATAAACGTGTTGAAAACATCTAATTTTTCCAAACTCATCTTAATTTTTTCTTGATTACCTTGAAAAAGAAAGATACGCTGAAAAATCCAGCTAAGAGTCACACTTTGCAAGAAAGCATTTGATGCACTTATGCCAAAGGACGAAGACGTTCCATCAAAGGTCCCCATTTTCACGATTAGGTGGCCGAGTAAGGACACATACTACAAACCCCCGTCCTACACCATAGAAACAAGGCCTTGGGACAACTCTTATGAAGACCAGCCACAAGGCCTAAAATCACCGAAGCTTAATAGTAGCAAAATAAAAATTTATAGCAAGGAATACATTGCCTTTTTTAATCTTCCGAGAAGGGAACCTCACTTGCAAAGTCTCTCTTAGTCATCTAAATCGATCTGACGACTGACTGCATTTTATACCCCCTTACACGCATTGGTTGCTAACTACTTCTCATATTTATAGAAGAGAGCACGCCATTTATTTAGTTATTTAAATCCTTCTATATTCAAACTTAACTTCTTACTCATTTACTGACTTGAATGTTGAGTATTAATCTTAAAGATTAACTTCTTCTCCACTGCATCAGAAACCTTGAACCTTTATTATACACCATTAATTCAACTTCACTACATCAGAAACCTTAAACCTTTATTATACACCATAAATTCAACTTCCCTTGTCACCATTTAATTCTAAAGCAAAACAATAACCATAAAAAAAACCAAAATTGTTCCCTCTAGTGTTGCAAACCCGTAAACACTAAAGGCATATGCAAGGCGCTTTACCAACTAAGCAATTCAAGTATTGTTCCCATGGTTACTAACAAAGCCATTTATTCTCATGTTACATACTTACTTTAAATCGTTTCCAATTTTTAAAACATACAAATCAAAAATGGCCAATCCATGGTTACGAGCCATTGAGCTCATCGGAAAAACAATTTCATATAGCATATTTATTATATAGTAATTTATAATATTAATAAATATATATTAAAAATACTAAACATAAATAAATATTATTTAAAATATATAAAATTATTTTTAATTTTTAATTTGATATATATATATAATACACACGTTTTTGAAATTGGTAAAAAAAATTATATTCACAAATTTAAATGAGAAAAGAAATATACTGAGAATGTAAAATATTTTTACACTTTCAATTAAATAAGAGATATATATCATAATAAAATTTATTTTTTATTTTTAAAATATTGAAATAACATGATAAATATAAGAATTCTAATTGATGTATATATAAAATTATTTTACACAGACAATACATTATCTTTAAACTCAATTTAAATTAGATGTCAATTATTTTAAAAATTTTATTATTTTAAAATAAAATAAAATAAAAAAGTAATACAATATTAAATTATACTATTTAATTAGTTGAAGACAAATAAAACATCAAAGTGTTCATCTTTAAAAATTTGTTTCAAGAGACTAAATTAATATTAACCCTAACAATATTTATTCTTAATTATCCACACTAAATTCTTTTGAGAGGGAACTTCCTTTAAAATCTGAAGTTCGAATCCTATTAAATAGAAACTATTTATTAAAAAATTAATAATAATAATAATAATAATAATTATTATTATTATTATTATTATTATTATTATTATTATTAATTTTTTTTTTTAATTATTATTATTATTGTCTACAACATCTTCTTACCTCTTGAGAGCCACAATTCTTTTCTTCACTTTATCTTATGACAAAAAGAAAATAAATAAACAAAACAACGTAAAACAATAACCAAAAATCACATTATTTAAGTTGGTAAATCATGTTCTTACAATTCTGCATTCCGTCTCCTACTCAAACTTCTTATACATCTGAATTCTTTTTGGAACTCGGTGTTGGAATCGGTTGTGGCTGGTGTTCCATTGTTGCGCGTCCAATGACTAGGGATCAATTTCGGGATGCTACGTTGGTTGTGGGTGAATTAAAATTGGCTAAGAAAGTGTGTGAGGGTGGAGAAAGTGTTGTTTATTCGGATGAGTTGGGTCGAGTTTTGACTGAGACGGTTGGTGGTAGAGGAGAGGAGTTGAGTCGGGTGGTAAATTTGCAGGAAGCGGCAGTTCATCCTGTTAAAGATAGTGGAACTTCCAACTATGAATTACTTAACCTAATGGAACAACTTGTATTTCTCTTTTAGTTTTTAGAGCGCTTTCAATTTTGTCTCTCATTTCAATTTATGAATTTAATCATTGATAGCATCTCCAATTCTACAATTTATTTTTGGGTTTTTGAAAGATCTATTAAGCCACATTATTTAGAATTTATTCATTATTAATTTTAATAGTGCAACTTTATATTGAATCCTATAATTTTATCTCATATATTAATATTTTATTTATATTAAATTTTATTTTAATTCTAAACAATCCATTATTTATATTTATTATTATTTTAATAAATTGTTACTATTATATTTAATATGTTTTAATGTAATTTTATGTTGCTTCTCATAACATTTTGTTGCTTCTCAATGCAACGATGTTGTCGGTCGGCGAACTATTTTATTGAGATTGTAATTTTTTATGTCAAAGCATGTTGTTCGACAGAAATAAGAGTGTGTCAAAAATAGCCTAGCCTGTGTTGAAATGTCAAAACAGGTTTACTCGACAAGATTTTGAATTAAATCTATTTTGTAGTTAACAGAGTTAAGTATTTTGAACTTTTGTAGTTTTGCGTTTTGACTTAGGGAGCAAGCAACCCTAAAACTATAAATAAGGAGTAACCCCTATTATTATATAACATTCATTGCAGTTGCAAAAGAGAATAAAATCACAATTTGTGCGCAGAGAAAAACTCTGCATAAATCTTTTCTTTTTCCCTATTTTCGTTAAACCCCAATTTCATCTTTCTTCTTCCATTATCAATTGTGTAGCATAATCATCTTGCAATCAATGTTGGTTGATTCACTTGAGTGAAGAGTGAAGAACAAGAAGGAATCAATTGGTTGATTGAAATCTTGTTCATCAAGATTGATTCGAAATTCCTCATGGTTTTGGGGAAATTCAAACAACTGGTATCTAGAGCTCTAGCTGAGCTATTTGAGGCAAGCAATAACGATGGCAGTGAATCATCCAAATGGACATTTTTCGATGCGTCTTGCGATTCTGAAGGGTCAGAATTATGAGAATTGGTGTAAACAGATGAATGTTGTTTTCTGGTATCAAGATCTTTGGGATCTTGGGAAAGAAGGTGTAACACCGCTTGAAGATGACGCGCCAGATGAAGAAAAGGTTGCACACATAGAATTGAAGAAGAATTATAAATATCTCTTGATAATCCATCAATGTGTTAATCCAGATAATTTTGAAAAGCTGAGTGATGTTGAAATCAATGAAAGAAGCTTGGGAAATTCTGGAGAAATTGTGTGGAGGTGCATAAAAGGTGAAAAATGTGAGGTATAAACTCACAAAAGTACATATGAACTGCTTCAGATGAAAAAAATAAGTAAAAGCATAACTGATTTCTTCACTAGGGTTACAAAACAGGTTAATCAAATTAAAGTATGTAGAGAAGCGATGACGTCAAGATCAGTTGTTGCAAAGACCTTGTGGTCTTTGGCTCCAAAGTTTAACCCCATGGTGGTTTTAATAGAAGAGTCGAAAGATTTGTCAACATTGACAAATGAAGAGCTTCAAGCGACACTTGAATCTCATGAACAGAGAATGGATGAGAGAGCCGATGGAAAGTTGAAGAGTGATGTAGCTCTGCAGGCTCTATCAGTAAGAGAAAAGAAAAAGCAAAAGAAAGTGGTTTGACAGTAAAGATAAAAAAGGCTACAATAATTTGACTGGTCGAGGAAACCAGCAGGGAGGAAATTGGTCGAATCAAAGAAGACCCTCGTACCAAAGTAACCAAAGAGGTGGTGTTGCAGGAAGAGAAATAGGTGGTGCTCGAAAACCTGACAAAAGTCACATTCGGTGTTTCAATTGTCAGAAGTATGGTCACTAATCTAGTGATTATCCTGAAAAATAGAAGAATCAAGACAATGGTATAAAGTTTGCAAAGCACGAAGAAGAAGAGATAATGTTGATGGTCACAACAAGAGATGAAGAGATATTAAAGGACCAATGATACTTGGACTCGGGATGCTCATCACACAAGTATGGAAGGAAATATTGATTTGCCAACATATAACCCTCAATGAAGAACATGGTGAAATTTGCAAATGACTATACTCCAACAACTGAAGGTATTTGTGATTTTATGATTATGAGGAATGATGGAAAAAGGCAACTAATTTTCAATGTATTGTATATATCAGGCATGAAAAGTAATCTGCTAAGTATAGGACAGTTGGTCGAAAAGAACTACAAGGTGTCGATCAAAGACAAGTTGATGACAGTTCTAGGCTCAAGAGCAAGGTTAATCTTGAAGGCTCATATGTCTCAAAATAGAACCTTCAAGATTGAATTTAATGTGATTGAGCACAAGTGCCTTACAAGTGCAGCTAGCAAGGATGAATGGATATGGCACTATCGATTTGGTCATCTCAACTTCAAAGGCATCATAGATTTAAAAAGAATAAATATGGTTTCACGATTTCCAGAAATTGACATTCCAAACTAAGTGTTTAAGGAATTTCTATAGGAAAACCAACACAAGAATAGCTTAAGCAAAGATGCAGGAAGCAAGTCGAAGGTAAATCTAGAAATTATATACTCATATGTATGTGGTCCTATCTGGGTGGATTTGATTGGTGGTAGCAGGTACTCTGTTACATTCATATATGATTTCAGTCGAAAATTATGGACTTACCTGATCAAGAAGAAAAGTGAAGTGATCGAGGTATTTTCCAAGTTTAAATCTATGGTTAAAAGACAAAGTGGTCAAAAACTCAAAATTCTAAGGACTGGTGGTGGTGGAGAATATGTGTCTAAATACTTTGAAATATTATGTAAGAAATAAAGGATTATGCATGAGGTGGTGCCACCCTACATTCCAAGGTAGAATTGAACTGCTAAAAGGAAGAAACAAACCATCATTAATATGGTGAGAAGTACGTTGAGAGACAAGCATTTACCTAAAGAGTTTTGGGGTGAAGTTGTATCGACAACAACATACATTCTTATTAACTCTATGATTTTATGATTGCCATTATGTTTGGTAAAACTAATATAGCAGCAATATGTTAAATAGGATATGTTAACTTGTTGGGAAGAACATGTGGAACAAGAAGTCCTATTTTATGTTGAGATATGTTGAGATGAGAAGTTCTCATCACCTGGAACAACATGTTGGATAAGATGTCTTATGTAGGGTCATACGACATCGTGCTTGAGTTGAGCTGAACATTTGGATTCTGTTATATTTTAACAGATGAAAAATATTCTAGGAATATTATGCTATCCTATGTGGAGTTATTTTGTAGGTCTGGAAGATTCAATCAAAATTAAAGAGGAAAATATACCTTCTAAATAAGGAGACTTTTTAGGAAAGATTTGATTGAAGACCTATTTTGTGTGTAGAATCTTCTGCAGACTTGTAACAGCTGATATGCTGTGATTTGAAGCTCAAATCCAGTTTGGAGATAGGTTATAAATAGAATCATTGTAACCTATAAAAAGGTACCAACTGTGAATGAAAATATGTAGTTACTAGGGCTGATTCTGTACCACTCTCTAGGAGAGTTGGTTGTTTGTTCCACTTAGTTGTGAGTAGGATTGATGTTACAGAGTTGTAATATCTATTATTATTCTCCTCTGAGATTTTAAGTAAGAGGTAGTATTGTTCTTGGAGGAAGTTTGTAAGCAACTCCAAGTTTGTGTTCTTAGTCAAGAGTCTTGGCTAGGTATTATTTTAGAAGTGAGTCTTCTAATATTGTCATGGAAATATGTCTTGTCATCATGGAAGTGTGTCTTATGTTTTTGTCATGGAAGTGTACCTTCCTGTTTTGTCTAATTGCTATCTGTGATTGACGAGGGATTAAAGAGGGCCTCATATCTAGGCGAGTCTTAGATAGAAAGTTAGCACAGATAGTGATTAAGTGAGAAGTTGTAAATGAGAGAGTTTAGCTTCGAATTGATACTATTATAGTGAACTTTATCCCTGGCTTGGTATGTCCCCAAAGTAGGAGAGTTTCTCCGAACTGGGCTAACAATTCACATGTGTTATTTATGCTTTTCAGTAATGTTTTTATGTATGTTTATACCTTTCTGTGTTGTTTGTTCAGATCAGATTTCTCGACATGTCATAGGACATCTGAACTCTGATATACCAGAATTTCAATTGGTATTATAGCAGGCATCATATTTTATTCTGGGTGAGATCCTGGGAAGATACTTTTTGATTCATGGGAAAGGAAGGAGTTATCTACCGAAAAGTTGTTTGAACTTGGAAAGTTCATATTGTTGTTTGAATGGTCCCTTGAAGTAGAGGATGGACTATTCATGACAGAGTGTGTATTGGACCTGTCTGTTGTTATCAGGTATGTAGCTTTGGTGGTGAGCTGTTGTGTTGAGTTTTATTTATTTTCAAATCAATGTTGACCTATTGCACCTGAAGTGTGATGGTTATGTGCAAGGGTTTTGTGTTGTGCCTGAAGGATGTTGAGGAGTTTTTTGGTTTACGTTTCTACATATGTATCTGATGGAAAACTCTTGGTGGTTTTTTGAGTTTCTGGTGTCGAGGTTATAACCATTTGTTCCTCTCTGAAGGTGTATCCCATGGTGTAGTGATACTTGGAGGACAACTTCAACCAACTTTGTAAATGTGTCAAAGATACTTGATATTCATCTCAAGTCCACTCATAAAGGAATTTTTGAATGAGTTTGTTGAAAAGAGATATGAATAAAGCATAAAGGATCTCTTGGTGTGTTCTCTGGAATGATGTCCTACCAAATGTTAGAACATCACATCAGAATTATGCATAATTCTGTTGGGATGAGATATAGATGCTTTGGGTGCTAAACAAATGTGTGTTGATCACATATAATTGGATCTTTCCCCCGATCTAGAAGAGAAGGCGTTTGGATTGTGTGTTTAAGATGTTTCTGGCATAGAAACATGGATTATATAAGTGTGTTGATCAAGGTATGATCATCATGTTATTTACTCTTGAGGTCAGTTTATTTCTGATCATATAACTAGGAGTGAAGAAGTTGTGCTCCAAGGACATTATCTCTGATATTTGGGGGATCC